GAGGGGTAACTTTTACCCCAGGGCCTGAGGGACCAGCCACCCATGGCACACACTCCAATCTCCACAGAAACCCTGCAGGCAGGTGGGGAGGTGACCATGAGTTGGCAAGTAGCCTGGGCAGGCCTCTAGCCACAGAGCCAGCAAGGTCAGAGCAGGCAAACAGCAGGAGACGTGGGGAGCCGGGCCGCTCCGCGCTGCAAACGTCATCACAAGCCGAGAGAAAGAAATCCGTCCTTATCTCCTGCATCTCTTATCCTTCATGCTCAAGTAGTCACCATCAGCCTCCCGAAAGCATTCAAGCCACGCAATGTTATCACAGATGTATTTTTCCTTTTGTTTTTTGTTTTTTTTTTTTTTGGTAACAAACATAGCTACTTTTGAACACAAAATTGCCTGGAGGCAGAGACATTCTCATTCTCTTCTTTGAGTATATTTTTCTTTCTTTTGCTGCACCAAAAGCATAAAGGAATAAGCAGCTCCCCTGGCAATCGGCACATTAGAGCAACAATTCAGCTGATGAAATGGCATTTCTCGGGGAATTAGCAGTGCAACACTTGCAGAGCATTTCGTCTTCCTCCCAGCTCAGCAGCACCTATGAGTTTTTGCTGGCTGATGGTTTCCAAAGTGCTTTTAATGAAATAAGCTGTTGGTCCCAGAAGTGCATCAACGACAATTCACAGCATAAGTGGTCTTTGCTGTTGTCAAAATCCCAACGGTTTGAGCCTGAGCAGATCATAAACATTAACCTGCTCTGAAACGTGGGGTGACCACTGCAAGCAGGTCCCACCTCCCCAGCAAAGAGTTTGCTTCCTCTGTTGGGATGCTGCTGGGGGACTGCGTCCTGCTGCTGTGTCTGTCCTGGAGATGGACAGCTCCAGGAATGTCCCCTGAGCTCTGCAGCACTGCAAGCTCTTCATTTCAAACTAGCTACTGCCCACCATCCCTGGCTACTTCACCTACAGGGAAGATGTGCACAGGGTGCACAACAAACCCACTCATTCTGTAGGGAAGGCTGGCTGTTTGTGACCACAGGAAACCAGTAACAGGAAAAACTTGGAAATACGGCCATCTCTTCAACCATGGACGTGGAAAGCATCGAGATTTGCAACAACTTGCACAACCACAGGTGTATACGTGCCTGCATCTCCTTCATCCCTCCATTCCCATTAGCTCTTGCACCCCTTGTGCCTTCTCCTTAGGTATTATTCATACTAGGTCAGGTCTACACTGAGTGATTGACCCAGGTCTTAGCATCCACCTCCTGCTTGTCCATGCAGAATAGCTCCTGACCCAAGCTGCATTTTGGCCCAGAACCCCTGCCTGGAAAGGACTGTGAAAGCAAAGTCAGTGGACAGCCCCCTGGTAGCTCCCCAAATCCCCATAACGCTTCCTTTCACCGCCGAAAGCAAAGGAACCCCAGCGTCCACACAAAGATCCGAAGCCAAGGGTGAGCAAAGCACCAGCAGTGCTGGCTGCCTTCTGTGCTGAACCTGTGCTGTAGCCAAGCTCCCCGAGGAGGTGAGCCTGCTGGTGAGCCGAAACCCCCCCGACCCGGCCGCACACCGCTGCAGCCCATCTGCTTGGCGCCCCCACGCACCGCCGGGTGCCGCCGATGGCAGGCAGCCACGCGCCCGTCCCTCCGCCGCCAGACAGATCGCTTACGCTGCCACACGCACGCCAGCAGCAGCGGTTTCCATTTCAAGCTTTTTGATAATGAATGCTTCTGGCTGCAGATAAGCAAACTTGTTAAACTACGCTACAAAAATCCATCCTTTCAGCAGGAACAGCAGCGCTGGGGAAGAAAGGTAGCCAGACAGGGATATCTCTATTGCCTGATGAATGCAGGACGCCTCCACCAACCTCGAATTTAACCTTGCAAAAGCTGGAAACATCTCCTTAACCACGGCAGCACTGCAGGTTTACTGAACTGTAGCAAAGCATTAACAAAGTTCCTGGTTTACATCCTCCTGTGTAGGGCTGAAGCCTGATCTCTGCCCATTTTCCCAAACAGCACCTGCTAGAGAGCTTTTGCGTCTGTGTTGCAGGACATTCAGATCGATTAGCAACAGGAGAGGGGGGTGGAAAAACCCACTAATCCCCAGCCTTGCCCTTAGGATGTAAAGCCATCCAGAAATCAAACAGCCCGCAGGGATACCCGTCAATTCCAGCTGACTGGGCTGAATTAACCAGGGACAGGTTGCATTTATTTGCATGATATCTGTGAACAGAATAACCCCATTTATAACAGCAATATATAAACAAACACAAGTGGAAAAGAAAAAAAGCTGGAGGCAGACTGCTCCCCTGTTCTGGGGCATATTTTCATCTCTCAGTGGTGCACAGAAACGGCAGGACAAAACGACTCTGTAAATTCATGCCCTGAAGCACGTGTTCAGACCAATAACGTGCAGTCACACCAAACAACCCCTCTCACAGCCACTGGCCAGGTTGGGCTCTCGCTGCCAGCCAGCCTTTGATGATGGTGGGGCTTGCTTTCACTGCCCCACATCACGTCTGGAGGAGCCAAGGGCCAGGCACAAGCTGCATGGGGCTCCTGGGGGTCAGATGGGAACAGCAGTGGCAGCTGTGATGAGCCCCAGAGGAGCGATGCCAGGAGAAGGTGGAGTAGGTGCCTGCTCTCGTGATCCAGCACCGTCCTCTGTATCAGATCATTACAACCCATTTCTGTGAGCTTCAAATATTTTCTGCAATTGCAATCGACTCTTCCCCAGGTAATAGAGGGGTGCTCGTGCCCTGCCATGGGATCAATGCGTGATCCTCCATTAGAAGGAGTTAAAGGGCCCAGCCTGCAGGAAGGCAGTGCCAGGGAATGGAAGAACAAGCACAGATTTGGGAAAAGCCAGGCACACAGCGAGGCTCTTCACTCCTCATGGCTCAGCAAAGAGCTGCTGAAGGCAGCATGCCATGAGCTGGGAGCACCACGAGGCCTGGGCACTGCACCCAAGGCTGGCAGATCTCCTCAGTGCTCTGCAAGTGCAGCGCTGCCACAACGAGGCATCACACTATGGCACCAGAGCACAGCTCAGAGCGAGGAGTACACCGAGGTCCTGCAGCCAGGCTGAGGCCAGGATGGTGCCACACTTGGAGCTAGGGCCCCTCGCACCTTGGGAGTGAGTTTGGGCAACAGCATCCAAGCCATGGATGCTCTTAGAAGTTTAATGTGGCCTTCATTCAACTTGGCTTGAATTCCCTTCCAAAGCAAATGAAGCTACGGTAATTAAGGCTGGTTTAACTTGTAAAGTTCACTCATTTTCTTGTGCACCCCCGCGATACAGCTCTATTGAGCTGAGGACGACAGCAGAGAAGAAGAGAGTGCTCTGGTCTGACAGCAGCTCATGCAGCAGCCACGCTGCCAGAGAGCCCCACAGCACCCTCAGCACCCCTCCCTGGAGATCAAACGCTTGGGAAGGGACTCGCACAGCTGCAGGCTTCTGAGCATCTCGTGTTGTTGCACAGCAAGCTGTAAAGGAACTACGTGCAGAAACACCCCCTACCTGCAGCTTCAAAGAGCCTCTGCGTGCTCTGCAGGGGCTGTATCAAGGTGACACGGAGTGGTAGGGGGTGGGGGACAACAGCAAGCCAGCAGCAGTTTCTCTTCTTAAAGTAAAAATAATGTGCCCTTCTCCCTTGTGGCCCATATGAATATTTCATCAGCAAACTGCCTCGTCCTGAATTAGATTTTTCCCTCTCTGGCTGAGTTGGGAGGCCCCAGCTTACAGCTTTCCAGGCTGAGCTGAGGACATCTGGGGCAAACAATCAAAGTGCTGGGGGCAGCCAGAGTGATCTCAGGATAACCAGAAGGAAATATGTTGAGGCTCCAGGTAAATCCATGCCTTTGGGCAGCGCTCACTCCTGTGACAGTACCTGGATGTCCCACAAACACCAGAAATACCATGGGACAAACAAGTTCCCTATCCGTCACTGCTGAGAGGAGTGTCTGCTTCTCCAGCCCATGCCCCATCGCGAGGGCATCATAGCGCTGTTCTTCTGCACCTGCAATGAGTCTCAAGGTCTCTGTGCACAAGAAGCACAAAGTAGAAGAAAACTAAATCCCCAAAATGAGATATTGCACAGTGAACACGCAGCCAGGTGCCTTCGCTTATTATATGGCCTGTCTCAAGGGATGATGGGCTCGTGGTCAGAGATGGGAATCAGACACGCTGATATCCTTTCTGTTCTGCCACAGGCCCACCACTGGCCAGACCCTGCCAACTCCCCTGGGCACCAGGATGAAAACCCTTCCCCTTCTGCTTTATTTTCACTTGCCAGGGCTTTGCACAGGCACCGCCCAGGCCCCTCCTGGCTCTGCTCGCCTCTCCCCAAGAGGAAAAAGTAAAGTATCTGTTTTATTTTATAGCAACTTTGGAAGAAAAATTTTTTGTTTGTTTGTTTATTTGCTTGCTTGCTTGTTTGTTTGTTTTCCTTTACTTAGGCAAAACTGCCAAGACACCCAAGAAAGCTTGATGGAAACACCTGAGGAAATATGTGAAAGGCCAGCAGAAGGGCAGTAATGCGTGTTGGGACCCAGCCCTCCGCACCCACAGGCCCTCCCGACCAGGACAAGTCAGTCTCCCGCTGAGCATATGAGCAAAGGGCCTCCAGGCAAAACAGCAACCTGCCTGGGAAAAGCCTGACGAGCAATTTCTCATTTAACTGCCCTGACAGCACTCTCACTGCCAGACAAGTCCGTGTCTGGACAGCGCCTCGTCTCCAGCTCAGGAAGGATTACGGGCTCAGGCTGTGCTTGCATCAGACGGGACCAAAACCAATCCATCTTGCCTCACACAGCTCCCCGGTGGAAACTGAGGGAAAGCTACAGACCCAGGGAGGAGAATGGGACACAGCATATCCTGCTGGACAGGCTGCCCTAAGGGAAGCCAGAATATGAAAAGGAAAATCTGCAAAAGCCATGAAGAGGCTGCCACTCACACGGTAACCGTGGACGGGCCCGTAGGGGGGTGGCTGCCCCCAAAGCTCACCTTTTTCTCGTCGCCCTCCTGCAGCAGCTGGAGGTGGCTCCTCTTCTCGCTGTCGGTGCGCAGCGAGCTGTTCTGGTGGTGCGGCAGGCCCAGCGGCGGGGACACGCTGCGGCCCTGCGGGTCCACCCAGGTGTAGATGTGGTTGGTGACATAGCCCCCGGGGATGCGGCCCACCGAGTGCACGGAGAGGTTCAGCTTCTTGCAGCCTTTCAGGAGCTGGAAGACAAGCCGAAGACAAGAGAGGTTAATGCCCACGGAGGCACGGGACGACCTGGCTCAGGGCTGTGGAGTGCCACAGCTTCGTCTCTCCTTGAGAGTGAGAGATCTCTGTTGGTGGCTGCAGCACGGCTGGAATGACTGAGCTATAGAAAAAACTAGTGAAAGGTCTGGGATTTTTATATTCTCTTGAACTACAGCAGGCCCCAGGCCATGCTGCTGCTGCCAGAGCAAATACGTTCTCCCCACCAGCCAGGCAAAGAGCAGCTGAAGCCGAGTCCAGGAGGCAGGCTGGGCCGTGATATGCCTGGGTTGCGGACTGAAACCCAGACTGAGCCTTTTTGGCAGCCTCAGAATGGGGTCAGAGCAGGGCAAGGGTCATTGCTTGGGGAGAACAGCACTGCTGGTCCCCCCCAGCTTGATCCCAAACCCCATCCTGCTGCCAGCAGCAGGCACCACTCAATGATGCACACAGAAATTCTGCCTCTGTTGCCATTTCGTTACCAGCCCCCCATCCAGCACAAGCAGCCAATTAGCGAGTACAGTCATTAACAAATATATAAATCTGTTTAAGACAGCACGCACCAAGCTGGCCTTGAGATCCAGATAAGGCCATTTGCAATTGCTCCTCTGGCTCCCCAGCTTCCACTGCAAGGAGCTGACAAAGCTTTTATCAAAACACCATTAACATTACAGGAGCCCTCCCTGGGGACGGCTCCAAGTGCTGATCCCTTCTGAGGCCTCAGAGACATCACCCGGGACCTGCTCTCATAAAGGAGCTGCTTTGTTTTCTTCCATACGTGCGTCCTTGTGATGAGATGCCCCCGCAAGGTCTCCTCTCCCCACCAAGCAAAGATTGTGATGGGGAAGAACGAACGCCAGCAGCTCTTGGGGAAGGAGGAATATCGTCAGTAACACCGGGCTGGCTGGGCCCCAGCTCTGACCTGGCACCGCTCCTGGTCCTCCCTGCCAGAGTGAGAGGATCCAGCTCGCCAATTCCCCGCTCAGCATCTCCGTCCTGCACAGCAGTTCGGCTGCCGGTCGGTCACACGCTCCCAAGGTCACCGCGTGCCTGGAGAGCTGAAGCGAGGACCACGAAACCAGCAGCCCCAGCAGGACAAGCACAGAGAGCTACAACAGCCCGGGCTGCTTGCTGAGCCTGTCCCCATCCCTTTAGCTCCCCCAGACCCCATAACACACAGCCCGGGGTGCTGCATCATCCCATGGCAAACTCGTCGTGCACCTCCCAGGCTACCCAGAGCAGCAAGCTCTGCCGCAGGTAGGTCAGCCCTTCTGCAGCAGACAGCAAGCTTTAGCTAATTGATACACACCACCAATTAATCAGTCTTCCGAAAATAAGCAAATCAGGAGACAAATCACTCCTTGTGGTTTCACTCTGGGTTCTGTCCTGCCAGGGGTACCACGGCTGCATCCCTGCACTTTTACACCTCGCTTCTCACCATGCCAGCAGCCAGCACCGGGATCCCCAGCCCCACCTCTGCACTGGGGACTTGTCCCAGCCCTGCCACCAGCCGTCACCCTGTCCCTGCAAGCTCACAGAGGCCAGGGTGGCTGGCTGAGAGCAGAGCAGCACGCTGCAGTGCTTCAGGGCACAGCTCAGCTCAGCCCAAAGCCCTGCACGCAGCCCTAGGACACTGCACCCACGAGCAGCGGTGGCAGGGTGGTTCTCACCTGCCCTACAGCCACCAGTGCAGTGTGATCCCTGCTTTCTGTGAGGAGCTGCACCCCGTCTCCTGTCTCATTATTCATCCATTCAGACCGGAGCCATTTCTATGAAATCCTCTTCTAAGCCTGAGCAACGTTTATGTAACTAGGTACCGAGACGGCAAAACAGCACTGAGAGCCCCCCAAGGAGAGCCTCGTCTCCAAATGAGGCTGCAGCTCCTCATCAGGCACCAGCAAACGAGGATAATGTGATCAGCCCAAACACATGGGGTGACCAAACCACGTCCCGAGGGACACAGGGTCCAGTCCCCACTCCATGCATCCATCCTGCCTGGGCTAAATGTCACATATCAGAAGCACGGGGACAGCAGGGCTGCTCTCTGCACACACAGCCAACTTCCCCATGATGAGAGGCCAGAAATTTACAAGGGACTTTTTGTGTTTCTCTGCAGTTCCCTTGACAAGGCCACCAGGAGATGGGATCACCGTCAGCACGGAGATGTTTTATGCATAGGGGTGACTGCAGAGCACCAGGAGGCAGCAGCACAGCTACAGGAGGAGCTGGCAGGAGAGGAGGGAGCAGGAGCTGGTGGTGCCGTCGGGATGCTGCTGCTGACAGACCCCACGGAAGGAGCGGTGATGGCTGGGGCTGTCGTGATGTCCTCAGCAGGTTTCCAGGCATGAAGCAGGTCCTGCCCACCGCAGTGCTCCCCTGGGATCACCCCCAACACGACCCCATTTGGAGCATCTGTTAACAAACCCTCAAGGCCAGCTGCTGGCTCCTGGGGCTCTGCTCTGCTCAGCTCCAGCCTCCCAGGACCCAGCTGGGCTTGCCCTGGGCAAGGCACAGCCCATCCTACCCTAGTGCTTCAGCTAAAGGTAAAGTTTGTTTTAAAAAATAATTTGGTCCTACGAGCCCAGTGTGGTTTCTGCCCAAACCCTGATGGAATTGCTCCACTTGCTCTTAACTTCACAGGCAAGGGGCTCCTAACAAACCCCTCCTCCCTCAGCTTTTACAGGCAACTCACCCCTTGCTTCCTTCAAGCTGCGTCATTACACGGGGAACTTAATTACCAGAGACAGCCAATTAATCAGCCTCTTAGCACCAACAAATGCATCCTGTTACCTAGACAGGATCTTTAGTGCAACACAAACAACACTTCACTGCCAACAGCACCAACCCTCCTCCCTCCCTTGCCTGGAGGATGCTTAAGCACAGCTCTGAGATGCAGCTGGAAGCACCGTTGTAGCTGATTTACAAGAAGAGATTTGACTCATGGTTTTGCATCAGCTTGAAAAGACTTTATTTTTAATGTGAGCCTGGGTTTGTACCAGCTCAGGGGGTAAATCCTTAGCCGTGAGTACAAACAGCGAAGGGAATCTGCTTTTCCCCTCCACCAGGAGCACAGCCCCTGTTTGAGGGGGGGAGAGCAGGAGGCTGAGGAGCAGGAGGCTCGCTCAGCACCACCTGTGTCCTCCCTCAGGCCACCCGAGCCTTGTCAAACATCGGAGGGAGGCCGGCACAAACGGCTTCTCCAACAGTGACCATTAAAGTCCATTTTGCTCAAACACTTGGGCCTCCAGGGGACTTTCCATCCACGAGGCAGCCACTAGCAATTTAAACACAGGTTGGTGGGCTGTGAGCAGAAGGGAAGCAAAGCAGTGTTTTCCCTCGGATGGCAGCACCACAGGTGTCCCATGAAGCACAGCAGGCAAAGGAACAAGATCTGGCATGAGCCTATAAAAGCTTGGCAGGCAGAGCTGCGAGATGAGGAAGCATCAGGTGAGCCAAGTGGGAGAAGCTTCCATCCAGAGACAAATCCCTGTCAGCTGCTCCGGTGAGCACCAAGGGATCAGAGCAGCTATCCATTTTCCTGCACAGGGAAAGTTTCTCCTCTTCACCCTTTAATTTACTTTTTTTTTCTGGCTTTACCAAGGCTGGTTTCATCCTCTGGTTCGCACAGGTTCCCCTCCGGGTACCTGGGGAGATGAAACCCAACATGCTTGGGAGAAACAAAGGAAAAGTGATGCTCCCAGAGGCACAGGAGAGACCCCTGGGGCAGAACCTACTGGGAGCCCATTCCCTGTAGGCACAGGGCTCTGTGGGATCGGAGCCCTGATGGGAAGGGACCACCTCGACACTGCACAGCCTGTGACCCACCTGGAGGTGAAGGGCTGAGGCCAGTTCCCATCCCACGTGCAAAGCCGACCCCACAGTGCCACCAGGCTGTGTGGCAGCCCCACCGGCTGGTTAGCCACTGGGCTCCCCCACAGGGCTGCCAGGCAGCAGAGCTGAGCATCACCACTGCCTTTTGCTATTTCCCATCCCTGGGCCTTGACTGGGAGCAGCCTTTAGTCTCTCTGTAAGGAGAAATCATCACCCCGTTTTGGAAAGAAAGTGGAGGCAGCCCCAGCAGCGAGTCCCCTCCAAACTGCATGATCTGGATTGCCCATCCAGGCACCCAGGAAGGCTTTCTCACCATGCCTGGTGCACACAAGAAATGGGTGCCCTCCCCTGCACCTCCCTGTTTAGCCCCTCCAGCTGTTCTTCAAACGGTTACAGAATGCCTTGGGAGCAGGCACCCGCTGAAGGAGGCTGTAACCCCAATGCTGGATCCAAAGAGGAACCCAAGCGACCACCCTAGCGGAGCATTTGCAGTGAGTTTCTTACAACATCACCTTGGTCCTGCCGATTTTTATTGCTTCAGCACTGAGACAGAATGAGAATTTAATGGGGCTGTTTGTACCTGCTGTTGCACCACCATGGGCATTAGGGCCAAAGCAACACGAGGTGCAGCTGGGACCCCTGCGGCTGCATGGAGCTCCCACAGCACTGCTGATCTGCAGCTCAGGACACGGCCAGGTGCTGGAGCATCCCAGGGAAGCGACTGCAGAATGAGAGCAAAGTCTTGCTTCTAATAAAGGAAAGTGGCAATAGCTGGCATGGAAAGAAGAGCCATTTCAGGGGAGGCGAGCAGCTCAGCCTGGTGGCACTGGGGGATCCGGGCTGAGCCAGGAGAGGAACCGAAGCTCCAGCAAAGAAGCCAAGCCTTGGCATCCTTCTGCTGGAGCTTCAGCAGCCCCACCTGGAATCGTGCTTTGCAGCCTTCATTTTCCATCCTTGTCCTTGCTGTAGCTGACATCAGAGACCTCTAAGGACTGCTCACCTCCACCCTGCTGTCCCAGGATCATTGTGTTCCATTTTAATTCCTTGGGGCTGGTGAGAAAAGGGCAGCTGATGACCTGGGATCAAATGTGCTAGTTCACTCAGACCATGCAGGCAAGCTTCCTTGACACATCCTTCCCTGCCATCA